GGTTGGAGTCCACGTGACTCACCTTGTGCTTGGCTCGAGACTTTACAGGATATGGCTAGCAAACGACACCAGTGGCGCGTCTGCTGCGTCTCCTAATCGGATTGTCTGTCTAAAGTGTGTTTGGTGCTGAGTTATCTGCGGGGTAATGGCTGATTATGACGCGTGGCAGTGAAAGCCGCAAGGAAGCTGTCTCGCCGATGCCGCCTTATCTTTGCACGATAGCCAGCTGTTTGTGACGGTATGTTGTCTACACAAGGTGTAGGCGCCTTGACCCTGAATGTTTGTTTAGGGTATTAAGGTTTTCAGGTAAGTCCCTCTTCTCTCCCTCTTCTTATTCTTTATTTCATAGGTCCTCATGGTTGTATGGCAGCGAAGCATCAGTTCAAATGGCTGATGTACTGCTGTTGATGATGATGATGATGATCTCGTCGGTAGGTACCAGATGTGGGTCTCGACGCAGTAGTGGTGTTCAGCACAAGAATTCAGCGAGTTGACTCTGGGAACGTGGATACCTGGAACAAGAGAGTGGTGTAGGTAAGTTCGGCAAAGTTGGATAGAAGCAAAATGATGGAAGCGCCGCAGGTTAGCTTGGCAAATGGCCAGATCTTAGCAACGTGGAAGACCAACGAGGTAAGAGCCAAGCGTCTAGGCGCTGTTTGAAGGCCTCCGTATTGGGCGCTGAGACAACAACTTCAGGGAGGGCGTTCCAAGCGAAGGCAATACGCACACTGAAACTGTTTCTTCGGCACAGAAGGCGACTGCTACGATTCATCAGTTTGAGTGAGTGCCCTTGAAGATGATCTGTACGGGCGCGGACCAGCAATCCTGCGTTTGGTTTCCTGTTATTAGTCAGGACGGAATAAGCTAATATAAGGTCGCCACGAAGCCTGCGATATTTCAACCAACCTGTCAGGGACTGTTGGGCAGGAAAATGTGGGCAGTAATTAGACAGGGTGTGGCGCTCTTTGTTTTAGGCTTTTCAACATCTCAAGCAGACCTACCAATTCCCGACCCAACGATACGCAAACAAAGAACATTCACGGGATTATCCTATCGTTCCGGTCCCAACTGAACTTGAACGGTGACATTTCAAATGCTCGGTTTAGTAAATGACATCGGCTACAGTAATGAGTGAGCAAGTAACTGCAGAAAAATTATAACTAGGGCAGCTAAGGACGTTCGGGAAATTAAACGGCAGTGGCCGCTGATAGGAAAGCACACACGCAAATCAAAAAGACAACTGGAGAGAAACTTGTAAGTAATCGAATTAGCTAACACATGGAATGATTGTGAATATAGTCATTCAACCACCGCGTAGGCGGAGTACCAAATGAAGGGTGGACTCCTTCTGAATATTGTAATCAGACAAAGTACGACCGTCTTCCAACTGCTTCCCTGCAAATATCAACCGTTGCTGATCAGGCGGAATGCCCTCCTTGTCCTGGATCTTCGCCTTCACATTCTCAATCGTGTCGCTGCTCTCCACATCGAGTGTTATCGTCTTCCCGGTAAGCGTCTTCACGAATATCTGCATACCGCCACGTAAGCGTAACACCAGATGAAGAGTAGACTCTTTCTGAATATTGTAATCAGACAAAGTACGACCGTCTTCCAACTGCTTCCCTGCAAATATCAACCGTTGCTGATCAGGCGGAATGCCCTCCTTGTCCTGGATCTTCGCCTTCACATTCTCAATCGTGTCGCTGCTCTCCACATCGAGTGTTATCGTTTTCCCGGTAAGCGTCTTCACGAATATCTGCATACCGCCACGTAAGCGTAACACCAGATGAAGAGTAGACTCTTTCTGAATATTGTAATCAGACAAAGTACGACCGTCTTCCAACTGCTTCCCTGCAAATATCAATCGTTGCTGATCAGGCGGAATGCCCTCCTTGTCCTGGATCTTCGCCTTCACATTCTCAATCGTGTCGCTGCTCTCCACATCAAGTGTTATCGTTTTCCCGGTAAGCGTCTTCACGAATATCTGCATACCGCCACGTAAGCGTAACACCAGATGAAGAGTAGACTCCTTCTGAATATTGTAATCAGATAGAGTACGACCGTCTTCCAACTGCTTCCCTGCAAATATCAACCGTTGCTGATCAGGCGGAATGCCCTCCTTGTCCTGGATCTTCGCCTTCACATTCTCAATCGTGTCGCTGCTCTCCACATCGAGTGTTATCGTCTTCCCGGTAAGGGTCTTCACGAATATCTGCATCTTCCAGATCCTTATCCCGCGCCAAAGACCAGTTGAAGTCGGGTGCGGCTGGCTTTTGTTCAACCGAAGGACGAATGAAATCGATTATTACGTGGCTGATTTGTCGATTGGTCCAGTCGGATTGTAGCCAATCATTTAACTAGTATGTGCGCGCCGCCGGAGCGTTAGCTAGACATACCGGGTGAACAGCCACAAGCGATTGTCTAGCGCCGTGCGGATAGTAGTCCTTGTTGTTCGCTTTATACTAGCGCGTCCCGTGTCGGTACGTTCCTCAGTAGGTGTCTCATGCAGCCATTGGTGCAGTTTTCAGTTTGCTATGCATATTTTATAGGGACTTAAGGGCTACTAGCCACCAACGCTGTCGTCAACGGCGCCGTAGTTAATGCCTTAGTCGGTACTTACTTTCTCCCGAGTGCACTTAGAAGGGGAGACATTTACCGTCCTAAGGATTATTACGTAGCATGGACGTTGGAACGTGTGCTCTATGCGGCATGGGTTTAGCAACTGTAAATGCAGCTGGTGGAAGTGATTGCCGATGCTCTGTTCTGCCAGGCTCGCATCGAGTCAGCAACAAATCTTGTTGGTTGTGGGGTAGAAATCTCATGCGACAGCTGTTCCGTTCGGAAATAGCACTCGCAGGACGTCCATTCGTACCGACCCAACTTATACGAACCTCAGTCCTACCATTCTGCGTGCACTTGAACCCATCTTTCCCGCTCTTTATTCGCAATGGCCTGATCCTTGGTACCAAGATCTCAATCGTTTGAATTAGTGCGGCGGTTAATCAACCGATCAGAGTCGAACCGCACTTTGTTTGCTTGTTGATATACATTAATTTTCCGGAGCGTTCCTTTGGAAATGAAATACAGTAATACAGGGTCGCTTGAACAGAAGCTATCGTGTTTTTCTGGCTCGGTAACTTGTGATAGAATAATGGTAATATACCTGGTTATCGGCAACTGGTACACCTGTGCGTGTCTTCGCGGTCATCCCATGAAGGTACACAAACCGCGTTCCGACACGATCAGGAGGAAACTCGGTTATCGCGTAGAGTTATCGAGCGCTGGAACTCGCTTCAAGGAAGTGTAGTCAGTGAATCTACGGTTAAGGGTTTCGAGAGTCAGCTAGACGCTTTTGAGTAGCAGCAAGAAAATTTTATTCTCCTGACTATACCCATCTTCCAACTTTGAGTTCATATTCTGTCATTCTCCTCACTCTTTTGGGGTTATCCTTCATTTAAATGACTTTCCTTTCTCTCTGTCTTCTTTTTTCTACCTCATCCTTACTTTATGTGACCTGCAAAGCGGGGACTGTTAGTGCAGAGAACGTGGGCAGTAATTGGTTGACCAGGGTGTGGTTCGGTTGTTTCGTTTTAGATCTGTAGTGTATCGGAAAACACGCTCTTTCAGTATTCTGCAACATTGGATTTTACGGTTGTTTTAACCTTCAAAACGTTCATTTGTTTTACTGACTGCACATCCATTGACGCAAACCGTTTTGGTGAGTACTTGCTGCACGTTTCTCGCTCTGGCTGATTCGCTTCCTATTTTTGTAGCCTGCACAATATACGTTGGGTTCAGTCGCCTCCGACTTCTATACTGTCTCGTATTTGACAAGTCTCTTACGTGTCCTTGATTACCGACTACTATCCCAGGCTCCGCCAAAGAGATCCATCAAGACCTCGTAGTGTAGAGGACCGTTACCTAATAAGTTCGAGTGCGGAGGCAAAACACCACCATAGACAAAAACTCAAAATAGAAGTACAGTAAAGCACACTTGCGTTCTGATTCTTCCTTCAGTCAATGTTATTCCGATGCCGACTAGCGATTCGAAGATATAAATCCGACTACTGGAAAGACTTGGCAGCAGCACAAGCAGAGGCAGCAGCAAACGAAAGCAGCACGACATGAGTGCGTAGAAATTGTTGTATTCAAAATTTGTGAATTTAAACAAATGGTACAAAATGGTCGGTAATGGAAGTGATAAAATAAAGATTAAACATGGTATAATCACAACTACTAAAGAACTCGCCCCCCTAGCGTTTGCGATGGTAAGCAAAGCTCGATATAGCGTTCATGGAACATATTGTGCTAGTTTGGAGGGGAATGAAACAACACGACCTGAACGTGTGTGGATAGGATCGCTTGTTGGGGAGGTGCACAGGGATTCCGAGGTTTGGGAATCGGTCATGCTTTTGTCATTGGGCAGCGGCCCAAGCACCGGAGGGTTGTGAGTGGTTGAGGTTGATTCTGAAGCATCCAACGTTGACTCGACGTATGCGGGTTTAAGACGATGAACGCTCACGGACTCATTGGATTCATTATTATCCAGAACTAAATACTTCGGTTTCCGTGATAAGACCTTGAATGGACCTTCATAAGGCGGTGTGAAGGGTCTTCGAATAGCATCGATTCGGATAGAGACGAATGGACAAGTTCGTAAGTTAACATGTATACGCTGCACGCCATGCTGAGGCTGATGTTGTATTCTTGATGCTTCTTCACCGCAGTTGGGCTAAACCAACTTACACTTAAACTAGGTCTTTTTAAGCTGGACACATTTCATTCCACTTTATTTGGTTTGTTCTGCCTACCTGAATAATCTTCTATTAACTGGCCACCTTGCTTACGCTAATTGCGCTTATCTTCGATAACTTTGTTGCGTTTGTAGCATTTTGAGTAACTTGTGGACATTTCCTACTTATCGCGGATTCGTTGCTAACCAACTTACTTCATATGGTAATTTAGCGAAGAGTTATGCCACCGTGTCTGTATGTATTATTGGATTTATTTTATTTCAGCTTGTCGTTTCAAATGAATGGCTGTTGCTTGATATCCCCGGTGTGGCTGCGCTTAATGTACATGTTGACATGGTGTCTACCTGTCTATTACCCACCACCTCGTTCATACTGGCTCCAGGAGACAGTTGGTCGTTGCTGGAGGGGACGGGGTGCACGGTCCTTGTGGCCGTGCTAGGCTCAAAGAACGGTTCCATGCACTCAGTGTGGAGCGGACTACGGTCCAGCCATCGCCTTGTGTGCGTTTGATTCCCCAAATATAGCGTGTTTGTGTTTGCCTGTGAAGGAGTGTGGGCCGGCTCTGTTGATGGAACGTGGCTCCCATTCACATGCCTCCCGGTCTTATTCCTTCGGGTTTACAGTGGATATGGGTATGTGGTTGGAGCTGTGGGTGGTGCAGCGCAAACCACGCATGGTCCCTCTGTAGGCGCAGGCATCCTGTGTCTGGCCACAGTGACAGGCAAATCCGAAACCGGATGCCGCCAGCCATGCGCTGCTCGCGGCTTCTTACTCGAGGTGGAGTCGGTTTAATGGATCGAAAATCTTGCTTCAGGCATTGAGCAGAAGACGCAGTATTCAGTTCGCTGGTGATTCGTGAGTCCAGTATCATCTCGCGTTGGAGTCTGAGGGTTGTGCCAACGATAAGTTCGGCTGGGCAGCATCCGACATATTATTTGACGGTATTGCGAATACCAAGAAGAATAGCTGGAAGGCGTTCAGACCAACGGGCATTAAGCGAACTAGCTGTAATGACAGCTTTCAGTTGTCGATGAAATCGTTGGACAAGGCCATTGGCAGCAGGATGATAGGCAGTAGTCTGAAAATGAGTACGACCGATCAGTCGACTCAAGTCACGAAAAGGGTGGAACTGAATTGAGATCTTCTGTCAGTAGTGACGGTGTCTGGCACACCGAAGAATGAAATCCATGATTCAACAAAAGCACGAGCAACAGTTTCAGAGGATATATCACGTAAGGGAATCGCGTGGGGAAAACGAGTATGGCGATCAACGCAAGTCAACAGATAAGTGCAACCGCTAGAAGCTGGTAACGATCATACTACCTCAAGGTTAATGTGTTTGAATCGAGCTTCGGGGAGTGAAAAGTACCAGGAGTTGTAACAGTGTGTCTGTGAACCTTGCTGGTTTGACAACTAAGACAGGTTTTGGCCCATTGTCGGATGTCTGTGCGCATATTGGGTCAGATGTAACGGTCGGTAAGTAGCTTCACAGTAGATCGAATACTGGGGTGCGATAATCCATGAAGATGGTCAAAGACCACTCGCCGGTAGGACTGTGGAACAAACGGTCTAGGTTTATCGGTGGAAATATGGCAGTAGATTCTGGCGTCAGAATTGAGCACGGGCAATTGCAATAGTTTTAACGAATTGTTCGACCGAAGCTGTGTTAATTCTAGGTCACGGGCTTGGACAACAGACATTTCCTCTAGATCGATAAGCGATCGTGAAAACTGATGGATGTGAGCACGAGATAGTGCATCGGCAACAAGGTTGTTAGGACCATCAACATAGCGAATATCAACACAAAACTGAGAAAGATACTCAAGGTGTCGAGTCTCTCTAGGGGAGTAACGGTCAGAAGTTGCACGAAAAGCAAACACAAGGGGCTTATGATCTGTCAACATGACAAAACGTCGAACCCTCAACATGTGACGAAAATGCTTTACGGCCAGGTACATGGCAAGGAGCTATCGACCGAACGTACTGTACCTGGTCTGCACAACTTGAAGCTTCCGTGAGAAGAAAGATAAGGGTTGAATTTCGTTACCTACGAGCTGCTGCTATTAGGCACCAACGGCGGCTTGTGAAGCGTCTGTCTTGAGAATGAGAGTGACGTTATCGTCCGTTCTCAAGTAAATAAGTGAACTAGCTTGGCTCAACTTTTGCTTGATTGCGTTAAACGCTGCTTTGGCGTCTGGAGTGAACGTGAAATTTTTGGAATTGCCTTTGGGCAAAT